CTCTCAAGTAAGTGTAAACTATTTTATTTAAAGTATTTTAAGATTTTTTGTTAGTTTCATATTGACTTAGTAAATATCAGTTTATGATTTATTGTTATGTAAATATCATTATTATAATTTTAACATTACTGATTTAGTATTTGTAGTAGAAATGTTAAGATATTTAGATGAACATATTTGATTTGGTATTTATAGTAGGAAAATAATATTTATTATAATGAAGAAAATTAATATTTATTATAATGACGAAAAATAATGGCACCATTAATTATCCATTTATAATCAGGGTAGGTGGGTGGTTGGTGGTTGAACGGGAAAGTATAATGAATACCCCGGGATGTTATAAAATGTGGTGTTTTAGTTGAGAATTAGGGAGTAATAAATTCGAAGTAATAATAATTATTTATAAAAATCTGAAGTAATAAATTTAATCATTATTATAATGTAATCATAGTATTTAATCATAATTTTAATAAAAAAAATATTGTTAATATATTTACAATTTTTGCAAGGTTAAATACTATTGTTGTAGAAAAATAATAATGAAAAATAATAATATTTATAGTAATGACGAAAAATAATGACATTGTTAATTATCTTTTAATAACCCGGGTAGGTTGGTGGTTTGTGGTTGAACGAGAAAGTATAATGAATACCCCGAGAGGTTATAAAATAGGGTGTTTTGATTGAGAACTAATGAGTAATAAATTTGAATTAATAATAATTAATTATAAAAAATCTGAAGTAATAAATTTAATCATTATTATAATGTAATCATAATATTTAATCATAATTTTTATAAAATAATATTGTTAATATATTTACAGTTTTTGTAATGCTAAAAAATATTGTTAATATATTTATATTTTTTAAAACTTTAATAATTTTTATTATAATTTAGTAAATAATTTATTTCTGTTATAATCATAAATGTAATTTATCGTCATTACTATAATTTATTTTAATTTGTTCTGAATATCTATATTTTTATGTGTAGAGAAAATGAGCAATAAACTTTTCACGATTGTCCATTACAATTGACATATTATGGAAAATGAGGTCCGAGTTATTTTTCAGTCTGAAGCACCTATAAATATGATGTTTAAAAGGGACATCATATTTGTAGAAATAAATGAGATGACAGAAAGGAAAATCCGAGATACGGTTAATGGCTTGAGGTATCGATTTATGGTATGTCCCAATCCAGTCAGGTTTGTTGCAATACCACTTGAAGAAGATGATGATATTATAACTATGATTGAATTACATGACTCAACAAATATTCTAATTATTGAGTTATTTGTTGATGTGTGTAATATATCAGATGTGCTTGTGTCATCAAGAAATATGGTTGGAACTTCATCTCAAATAGCTTTCGAAAGTCAGTTTGATAACCCGACATATAGGTCGATAAACAGCTTCGTTGCAATGTTAGAAAGTGCAAATGAAGTCGGTGGAACATATGGAGCCGCAGAGTATGGGGTAAGAAGCATACATCATCTGCATTCGATTATTGATGTTGATGCTGAAAATTGCTGGTAATAAATTTTTTATGATTCCAGTGAAGATGAAGAAACCGAGGAACCCGTTTTGGCTGAGGATAATGATATTTTCGGTGGCGATGAACCTAATATCAATATTGATGAATATCTGACACCGTATCAACCTACCCCTCACATGCATGAGATAAATTATGATGCGATGAGGGCACCTGAATTCCCGGAGATGCCACATTTAACTTCAGGATAGATGATTGAATCATCCATGATGCGATGAACTCCCACTCCCACTCGTCTTGGTTTCTCGACTTTACTAACTTTTTTATACTATATAAATTGTCGTCTTTCTATGTTCATTGTCAAGTACGACTTTCCATGTTCCCAATAATAATTTAGGTAATCTGATATGTTGTTCATTAGCAAGAATAAAGCTATGTTGTTCCAACGATTGATATAGTTGGCATGCCTCGCAGTCCAATCATAACCGTGCCTACACCGCCCATCTAATCTGTGGAGAGTGTCATGATTCTCTGGAATTCGTAGAATAGGTTGGTGGAAGCAGAACTGCCTCCACACTCTATCGAAAAATTTTAACTCAACAAAAATGAAATAGATCAATGGTTTAACAGTACACCAATATTGACAACCCTCCCAAACATGTTGTAGCACACACGACATAATTTCTCTTTCATCATGCGACCTCTAAATAAACTATAAAACAAAATTATATAATTTTTAATTAATTAAATAATTATAAATTTCAACTAAATAAATAAACAATATTTGAAACTAAATAAATTAATTATATATATACCTCAATTTTGCATTTGATGTCCATCTTAAATCTAAACTCTTTCATATTATTGTGTGTCAACCATGTTCTTTCTATTTTATGCCTCAATCTGTATATCAATCAAAATAAAATTCAATAATTATTTTTCTTATACAAAATATTCGTTAATTAATTTAAGATAAAAAAATTTAAATCAAAATATTACCTTTCAGCAAGAGGAAAGTCAAATGTAGTTCGGCTAATCGGTGTTAACCATGGAAGTCTGTGTCAGATCCACGATTGTAATAACATTAGACATCCACCGATTTCCATCGAACACACATCATTTACAAGAAATGACGCCTTGCACATCTCGCGATACAAGAACATCAATATTGCCGATCCCTAACTATATTGATGGGTATTCAAAAAGTTACCCAAAAACAAAAGATATTGTATATGAACAAGATTATCGGATTTATCCGGCATCAAGACTCCCACAATCAACCGTAATATATATGTTCGAGTTGTATATATAATGTCTTGCTTAGTACTATAACGACCGAGCTTAAACTCATTCGCCAACCATGATAATCTCAAACATGACCCTTTTGTAAATGTTTTTTCTAGCACCTTTCCAAGTTACACCCCGCACGTTTCAAACACGTGCTTATCATTTTTTCCCATCACTGTCATTCCAGTTGTAGGGATCCCTTTGTAAAGCCACATCCTCTAAAGTGATCGTACATTTACCACACGGAAGATGAAATGTATGAGTTTCTGGTCTCCACCGTTCAATTAATGCACTGATCAAACCGGTGACCAACTTATATTCTCTTACAAATGTTACATCGTAAAAGCCCACCATTTGAAAATTCTGGACAATAAGTTCATCTGGCTTCTCACAAGTGTTCACTCAACTACGAATGACTCGTTGTTCGTCATCTTGCAATTTGTTAATCCATGTAATTAGAATTAATTCATCGGTCTCAAATAAAATATATTATTCGATCATAATACCAGTGCTCCCAAATGACTAGAAATATGTCGATCATCTAATCTCAAAAGAACATTTTGTTCTGTCATGCTTCAACAAATCTATAAAAAAATTAAATATTTCAAATTATAATATTAATCATAATTAAAGAAAATTTAAACAAAAAATATGTTAAATCAAAATAAATAGTCTAATTAATTTATATTTACAATAAAAACAAAAAAATTAAACTAAACTTACAAAACCACTTAAATACGATTTAATTTGTAAAATCAAAATAATTAGTACAATAATTTATATTACTCAATAAAAAAAATTAAATTAAACTTAGCAAACTACTCAAATACAACTTAATATGTAAAATCAAAATAAATAGTCTAATAATTCTAATTTAAATTAAAAAACAAAAATTATACTAAAACTTACACGAAAATTTAAATTTAACTTACCACATCACTCAAATACAGTTTACTCTATAAAAAAAATAAATAGTCTAATTAATTTATTTTTACAATAAAAACACAAAATAAAACAGTAAATTTTAAACTAAACTTACCAAGATACTCAAATACGATTTAATCTGTAAAATAAAAATAATTAGTCTAATAATTTATATTACTCAATAAAAAAATAATGTAATAATTTAAACTACACTTACCAAGTTTTACTCAAATACAACTTAGTATGTAAAATTAAAATAAATAGTCTAATAATTATAATTTAAATTAAAAACAAAAATTACACTAAAATTTAAATTAAACTTACCAAGCCACTCTAATACAATTTAATCTATAAAATCAAAATAAATAATCTAATTAATTTATATTTCAAATAAAAATTAAAAATGAAACAATAAAATTTGCACTAAATTTATCAAATTGCTTACCAGAGCACTCGAATTCTTTCTTCCTTCGATCGAACTCTCAAGCTTACCAAACTCTACCGCAAATGCTTTCTTTCTCTCGGCCTCACTCAAATTTTCTCCAAATTCTCTCCCTCACCTTTCACCCAAAATCTAACTCCACCTATTTTATAACATTTCATGTGCTCCATTATTGGTCTAATAATGACACCATTATTACACCCGCTCCCCCGTGGAAAGCCTGCATGTCGTTGATTCCCACGCACGCCATGCATCAGCTTTGGTTCAGAGTTGAATACGCTGCGTATTCCTGAAGTCTTCTGCATGGACTAAAGACGTCGCATATTCCTGAAGTCTTCATTTTTGCCTGAAGATACCAAGTAATCTTGGAATCTTCGTTTTTACCTGAAGACGCCGAGTAATCTTGGAGACTTTGTCGTGGTACTGTAGATTTCACCCTAGATGGGGAAATAATCCGGGGAGAGCATTATTATGGGAATTAAATATTCTCAAATGCATTATTTGGGCCATTTTGTTATAACTTAAGGGTTTTTTTAATATAGATTTTAATTGTGTACAACATATTAGATTTTATCTAACACACAACATGAGTAAATGAAAATATTTTATATATAAAAACATATAATTTAAAAAATTAAACCAATAAATTATCGGCAAAATTGCCACTATAACGTTCTTGGGAATATTTAATTTCCATAATAATGCTCTCCCAAGATTATTTTCCCATCCAGGGTGAAATCTACAGTACCGAGATAAAGACTCCAAGATTATCTGGTGTCTTCAGGCCAACCAGAAAGACTCCAAGAGTGCACGGAGTCTTCAGACAAAATAGAAAGACTCCAAGCTTACCTGGGGTCTTCATTTTTTAGCCTATAATCTTTATGATGTTATAACTTATAATAATAATAATAATGCCAATCAAAATTAAATTAAATCTAAATAAAAAAAGAATCAACTATTTTTAAAATTCTAACAAAAATCTAATCATTTTATTTATAGATTTTAATTTTTTACGACATATTAGATTTTATCTGACACACAACGTGAGTAAATGAAAATATTTTATATAAAAATATATAATTTAAAAAAAATTAAACCAATTAATTATCACATGGGGAGTCATAAAAATGTCTATATATAGAATTCTTTAGTCTTGTATTCTATCATCAAGTTCTTAATTGTATTGTCTAAAGATTATATAAAAATAAAAATAAAAAAATATTTTTATAATAATAATGATTGAATTTTAAAATATTTTTATATAATTATAATTAAATCAAAATTAATTTAATTTCTAACATCAATTCAGTTAGAAATTTAATATATAATATCCAATTTCATACCTATTTTAAATTTGATATTTGTTTTTATATTTTGGTTTGCTATGTTATTTTATAATGGTATTTAAATTTGATATTCTACCCTTAGTTCTGAATGCAATACTTGATGTTTGATTTGATCAGAATTAATTATTTTATAAAAAAAAACTAAATGTCAAATTCATTACAATGTGAACACATGGGCATTACATGTGAAATGGGCGCCGTGTATACTTCTTTAGTACGGAGTAGAATAATTACACTAATATTGGTAAGATTAATTATGTTGTTTTGACACAGAAATATTGTTTTTTAATTATATCAACTTGACTCTTTTTTTTTTTTGATTGGTTTTGTTTTTCTTGCTTTCTTTGAGAATTACGTTGACATAGAATCTAGCAGCTTCTTCAACCACAAAAAACTGTAAACCAAGCTCTTATGATCATGAACATGAACAAAAACATGGTGGATTTTCAGTCTCAGTTCCATCTTCCAATGGACTGGGATTGGTTGTTTGAGTTCCTTAAAGGCATGGTGAAGCCAGTGGCTGCCCTTGCCGTGGTTCTCATAGCTGTGATCTTATCTTTCATGCAAAATCTGGGTTTGGAAAAAGAGATGGTTTATTCCATTTTCAGAGCTTTTCTTCAGCTTTCTGTCATTGGGTTCGTCCTTCAGTTCATTTTTAACCAGGACAACACTGGCTGGATCCTTCTTTCTTATCTTTTCATGGTTTGTCTTTTCAAATTCTTCATTAGATTTTATACAATTCAATTCAATTTTGATTCTTGACTTGAAACTTGCTTTTGGATCACTTGTAAAAATCAATCCCTATTAATCTGCAATTTGGGACATTTGTTTAGATGGATCATGTTTATCAATGTTCTTGATTGCCTAGTAAGTTTTACTAATGGGTGCTTGGAAACATGGATTGCAGGTTTCGGTTGCAGGATACACAGCAGGGCAACGTGCTAAGCATGTTCCCCGAGGGAAGTATGTTGCTGGAGCATCTATCCTGGCAGGAACAGCGTTGACCATGTTTGTTCTCGTTGTATTAAATGTTTTCCCTTTCACTCCGAGATACATTATCCCCGTCGCCGGAATGATGGTCGGAAACGCTATGACAGTAACTGGAGTTACCATGAAAAGACTTCGAGATGATATCAAGATACAACTGAACCTTGTAAGTTCCATGTTCCAACTTTCGTTGTACCAACTATCTGTCAATTGTTTTCTGCAATATTACATCTACCCGTCAATTGGTACCAAGTTACCATGAAACATTTTCTTTCTCCGTTAATGAGTTCGTTATATCGGTTTTTCGCAGGTGGAGACGGCGTTGGCACTTGGGGCGACACCGCGTCAAGCCACACTGGAACAAGTGAAGAGGTCTCTAGTGATTGCACTGTCTCCGGTGTTGGACAATGCCAAAACAGTGGGTTTAATATCGCTTCCAGGGGCAATGACAGGCCTAATAATGGGAGGGGCTTCGCCATTAGAGGCAATACAACTGCAGATTATAGTGATGAACATGCTAATTGGTGCATCTACAATTAGCAGCATCATGTCAACTTACCTCTGTTGGCCTGCTTTCTTCACTAAAGCATACCAATTGGAGACTAAAGTGTTCTCTTCAGATTGAACAGTTCCAATATTTTCACTTCGTTTGCTGTTGGAAATTGTAGAATATATACGTAAGATATCACCTGGCAAGCAGAGAGAAGTCCAGTCCAGTTTCATCTCTACTTTGCTTCTGCTAAAATACTTTATAATAAATCGACCATTGATGGGAATATTTTGTTTGATTGATATCCAATTTGTTCCAAGATAATAATCTTATATAAAAATTTACCTCTCTATCTTTTAATCTTATCCCTGAGACATCGCTATGAATTGGTTTCTTAACGAAATCATAAATATATTTGCCGAATTCATTTGATTGTAATTCAAAAATATTAAGTATGTAATCACTGATTTTATCCAGGCCTATCTCTCAAGTTGGTTTTAATTTGAAACACAAATTAAATTAAACTAATAAAAAATTCAAAATTAATATTCAGTCAAACATTACGAACAAACAACACATCCAATTTGACCAAAAAATATGGACCCAAACCAAACTAGCCCAAAACCTAAACCATCAGCTGAAAAAAACCTTAGCTTTTATAACTCTAGCCGTCGCTCATTGTAGGCCGTTAGGTTTGTTGATGATCCAACGGCTGATGTTAAATCCTAACCCCAAAATATTTCCAATCGTCGCTTAGCCCTAATCTCCAAATTGTTGTCGGCAAGATACTAATAATTAGTATTGTTGATGGAACAAGTTTAATTTATTAAGATGACGGTTTACTTCTTTTAATTTAGATGAAGAATCGTAATTAGTGAGCTAACGGTCGTTGATCAGTGTTTGAAGGAGGGAAAGTGTGGACTATCATGAAAATGAAACAGTCAATTAGTTGAGGACGATCCACCCGCTTTCCAATCTAGATTAAGGGTATTTATAGTAAGCTTTTTTGTGTATATCAACTATAGTATCATGATAATTATTTGTATGTTGATCATATTATATATTTGATGATTAGTTTTATTTTTAAATTTATTTTATTACAATTCTAAGAAAAAATTATATATATATATATATATTAGAAATCACTAATTTTATTCAAAATAGAAAATATCATAAATTACAATAAATATTTACAATCATAATCGTAAACTAAGCACATAATTAGGATAATTTACTATAATATTTGAAAAAACTAGCAATTTAAAATCACATAAGGACCATACAAGGAAAGATTAAAATCTAAACAAGAAAACTCAAATAAAGATAGATATAAACAGATCTGATCGTATCGACAAACGAATCAGAAAATGCAATCAAGCTACTGAATGATCATCGATAAACCGCAAATCAGACTCAAGCAACGTGAAAAGCTATCCACGAACGTATAACGGGTATCCAAATCCAATCCGAGGGTCCAAAGCAGTGAATATCAACAATATAGCAGATAAGCACCATCTTGATCAGTCGTGGCGATATCTAATCAACCCTTAAGGAAAGATAAGTGAAAACAATGGCAAATGATCGAAAAATATGTCAAAATGTAGAAGAAAATGTGTCATAAAGGCAGATGAAAATGTGTCATACAAGTAAACTTTTTGAAAATAAAAAAAATAAAAGAAAATAAATATGTAATATAAAAAAATAAAATGATAATATAAAATACTGACGGTCGACAACCAACGTTAAAGTTGATACCGCCACCGATCAATAAAGACAAAAAGAAAAAGAGATGAACAGTTTATCAATAATAGAAAATAATTTTTGGTTAGAAGTCTCGAAAGAATATAAAACAATTATTATTTATATATTTTTAAAAACAATACCCAACAAAGATTAACATATGATATACAAATATAAGTTATTATATTTAAAAATAATTTCCTTTTATTTATTTTTTAATAGATTTTTTTCAATGAAAACAAACAATGGGAAGATATGAAACATATTGTCATATTTTCTATATTTTTTTTACCAAACACACGAGAAATAAAATATATTTTTTCATCTTTTAAATTTCCTTTTGATTTTTTCTTCTTTCTAATTGTATTTCCTCTCTACCAAACCAAACCTAAACCTAAACGTTAGATATAAAACAAGTATATGAATATAGCCTAAGAGATAAATAAAATTCTAAAATAATGGAACACCATGGGTTGAGTTTATGGAATTCGTTGTTTCACCATGGGTTGAGTTTATGGAATTCGTTGTTTTGAAATTAGAAATGAACAGAACAAACATGAACAATGGTAGATTTTTGTTCGTTCATTTAATTTTAACAGAACAAATGAACGAATATTAACAACTAAACAAATAAAATTTCTTGTTCATTTTCGTTCATTAAGGAATATAACTTGTTTGTGTTTGTTTGTTAAAATGATAAACGAATGCAAACGAACATAAATTTAAATGATTTAGGGTATTTTTTCTATTGTGAAATGAAAGAAAATACATATATGAATAAATTTACACAAACGAATATAAACAAACATAAACGAACGGATTAACGAATGTTCACGAACATAAATAAACGAACGAACCCTTTGTTCGTGTTCGTTCATTTAATTAAACGAACAGAAGATCTTATTCATATTCATCGTTTAATAAACAAAAGAATATAAATCAGCTTCCTGTCAAACAGTTCATGAGCGATTCGTTGATTTGCTTACGTGCATATTTGAAAGAATGAGTGTGAAGGGGTTTTGGGTTTTGTCTGGGAAACGCAAGCGCGTTGTTTCAGGCACGATGCTGTCAGAATTTAATACATTGTTCCTACCTTGTCGTATTTTTAACAGGAGGAGATTAGATATTGATGCTTATTTTGGGCATCCTAGGAAGAAATGATGCATATTGTCACAGACCGCCAGCCTATGACCGAACTCAATGCAATCAAGGCTGCCAAGGACTATCTTTATCACGTTTTGGGCCTTCTAGAAGACCCAAGTGAGCTGACCCATTCCACCTTGGAGACATGATAATTGT